CAGAAGACCCCCCATCCTCGGGAAAGGGGAAGTGGGCCGGTTACCGATGCAAGGCTTGTTTGCGTCCTCTGCTCCGCCCTTTTTGCGCGAGAGAATGAACGCCGTTAGGAAGGGCTGGATCCAAAGCTGGGGGTGGTTTCTGCACATATATTGCCAAGGAAGGGTGGGAGGGGTATGCAAATAATCATATTTACATAGACAGGCCCACCCCCCTCTGAGCCAAGAGCCCTGCGCAGAAAGAGGAGTAGCTGGATCGGGGAGTGGCATGCAAATCGCCGATATTATTTACATGGACAGCTCCGCCTTCTCACAGCCCAAGAATAGGAATGAGATATTGAGAAACGTCTGCGCAATTAGTTGGGAAATGTATGTAAATTTGCACACCAGTAATTTACGTAAGGACTTTTTATAACGGAGGAAAAAAGTGAGGAACGACCTTGCGAGGAGGGAGAGATGACCAGAAGGGCTGTGCAAACGTATCCTGACCCATTCTGCTGTGTCCCATCGGGACAATTATGACGACCTAGGAAAGCTACGGAGAGAAGACATTCGCATGACAGCCTTGAGTCTTTTGAACATTTCAGACGACCTAGCCTGGGAGGACTATGCGGATGAGATTATTTAAATACCCTGCCCTCTTCACCACCAGCCAGGCTGAGCCAGGACTCAGGCCTCCCGATGGTTTAAGGACAACTTGGTAGTTGGTGATCAGTTGGGAGTGTCCTGATGTCCTGAGCGCGCTGCACCTGTCTCTGGTACAGCATGTGCAGTTATCTGAGGTTCACCTCGTCACAGGAATAACATACCGATCTCAAATTTGCACAGGAGTCAGGGTTGCAGAAAGACCCACACAGTCTTCAGGGTTCATGGTCAGTTATCAAAAGAGTCAAATTCACAACAAAACTCACACAGATCTCAGGGCACACATACACAGTCACACACCAAACATCAGTCACTTCCTCGGATTTTCAGGCATCAGACATGCATAGATAGCTATCACCCACCTGGCCCAGACCCAGGGCTCAGGAACAGGCCTGAATTCTCATTCCCTAGCCTTGGTGTCTCAAACACCAGCCTCACGGACACAATCTCCAAGGACACAGAGTAGTCACAGGCAACAGTGTCTCACACACACACACACAAGCAGCAGACATTCCTACAGATCCCAACACACACACATCACAAAGGGACATCAGTGTTACATATGCAGGCAAACTCCCTCCATGACAGACACCTAAGCCACAGAGTCATGGTGGACCCCCACACCATGTCCAACCACAAAACATGGCTACAAACACCATCTGGAACCTCTTCTGTCTCCCCTCCCTCCCACCCCAAAATGACAGAGGCCAGGACACAGGTGTAAACAATGCTTTATGGGGGCAGGATGGGGACAGGACAGGCCTCCAGGTAATAAATAACACGTACTCGCAACAGCAGGGCCAGGGGAGCTAAGGCCAAATGGCCCTGGTTTCAGGCTTTGGGAACTCTTTGAGTATGATCAGGGGTTTGGGGGAACAGGGGTTAGCCAAGACAGAGGAAGCAGCAGCAGGTACAGATTCCCCCTTCCCCCGTGGCTCAGTCTTGCCCCTCAGCCAGGCCCCACCAGGCCAGGGAAGGGGGACAGGTGGCAGGGCAGCTTCTCTGGGGCCAGGGCAGGTGAGGGCCTCGGCCTCCCAGGGCCTAGGTCTGGGCCCCAGCCGGAAGGACAGGGCTGGTCCTGGAGAACAGCTGAGCTGAAAGAAAAGTGTGCAGTGAACTGGAGGGATCTTGGGTCTGTCCAGTTGGTGTCTGCCTCATTTCTGGGTCTCTTCCTGCCCTCCTGTCTGGGCCTGTCTGTCCATGAAGGTGACTTGGAGCTCTGACTCTGAGGGCACGTGCACCTCCCTGTTTATTCTCCTCAGAGAGTTGTCTCCTTGAGTCTGTAGAAGGCCATGGCAATTTCTAAATTTTGTCTCCTCACCTTTGCACCTGTGTTTCTCTATGTTCCTGGATCACCCCAGCTCTAGGTCTCATTCCAGTGTTTTCCAGACTGAGGAGACACATTTGGTTCTTGCTTTGGCTCCAGATAGCATTACCTGGGATCTTCTAGAAATCCCAAAATCACTTCAGAATCTCTGAGGTAAGGCCTGAGCATCAGTTGCTCATGAAGCTCTCCAGTTGATTCCAATGTGCAACACTGTATTAGTGGATTGGGAAATCAGTTTGGTGGGCCTTGAGCAATTTTTAAAAATTGAAATAGATAAAATAGAATGGAGAATAACACAGTGCTTCATAAGTAATAAGAATGTTGGTCCACAGAGATAAAAAGGAGGCGGGTGGGAGCCAGATGCTGAGCGGAAATGAGAGTGGGTATGGGGTTTCTTTTTAGGGTCATGAAAATGTTTTGGAACTTAGACGGCGGTGGTAGCTGCACAACCTTGTGAATGTACTAAATGCCACTGAATGGTACACTTTAAAATGGCTACACTTACGTGAATTTCACCTTGATTTTAAGAAAAAGAATATTAGTACAAGGAAAACTTCGGTTTTATACATGTGTAACTGTATTAGATCAACATATAAAATATATTTCCCCCTGCAGACTGCAGTCAACAAAGTTTGAAAATGCACTGTCTTATTACACTGAGGGCAAACCCGAAAACAGACTCAAAATTAAGTCTTGAGGTGACGAGTACACAGCCCAGAGTCTTTAAATGGATAAGAAGAAAACTAATAAACAGCCCTCATTTATCACGTCTCAGTTGGGCCCTGTTCTAAGCACTTTACATGAAGTAACTTAATCTTTTCAACACCCTCATGAAGTTGGTACTACTTTTAGCCCCATTTACAGGTGAGGAAACCAAGGCCCAGAGAGGTTAAGCAATTTGCCCAGAATCACACAGCCATGAAGTGACAGAGTTGGAGTATAAATGCAGGCATCCCAGCTCTGGAGACTGTGATCTCTCACCTCCTTCCCTTCTCAGATGGGGAAGACAAACACTGTACGGATAACAGTGATCAAGTGTACAGAGTTGAACACTTTAAAAAGGAGGAGCAGTTGTGAGACCGCCCGTCTAGAGGGAGTGACCCCATTTGGGAAGCCGGTACAGGTTCTCTGCAGGAAGAGTCATTTTAGCAGAGACCTGATGATAGATGGCAGAAAGGAGGCAGGGGGACAGGCATACCCAGGCACTCACAGCAGATGCAAAGGCCTGGAAGGAAAAGAGGGCACTGCCCAGAGAGTTCACCCATGATTCCTCTTTCTCAAATTCCATATCCATTCATCAGGAACTTATGTTGGCTCTGCTTTCAAAGTACATATATCCCAAGTCTAACCACTCTTCTCCAAGGCAACCCTGGAGTTGCCAATGGCTGGGGAAGGGGGTGGGCATGAAGCACAGAGATGAGAATCAGCAAGATGTACACACCCCTGGAGAAGTGGGGATGCGACCAAATCCTGTGGGATCATTCAAGCCTGTCAAGGAGTTTGGACCAAACACAGGGAAACAAGCAAGGCTTCCTGGAGGAGGGGGAAGCAGTTACCAGAGAAGAGAGAGAAGGAAAAGTGTTCCTGATAGAGGGAACAGCAGGAGTAAAGACCCAGAGAAAGGGAAAGAACTTCAGTGTAGCCGCAGTGGCCTGTCATGTGGGGAGAGGTGTGAGTTGAGGCCAGTGAGGCTGGCAGGGGACAGCCCCTGCAGAAGGTCAAACACCAGGCTGAGGTACTTCAGCTGTGTCCCATGGACCCTGGGAGCCATGGTGGTTTTAAACAGGGAAGGGGCAGATCAGATTTGTGCTTTAGGAAGGCTCAGTAACTACATCAAGAGGGGACAAGACTGGAGACAGAGATCAGGGAGAATACGAACCTATCCACATTCTCAGCCCCTGCTCTGCCCCCACCCTGGTCCTGTCCACCACAGCGGTTCACCTCAGCTTTGCAGTGGCTTCCTCCCTGGCCTCCCAGCAACCACCCCTGTTCCCCACAGTCTCTCCTACATATGCAGCCAGAGGGACCTTGTGAACACCTGAATCAGATCTTGTCCCTCCTCTGTTTGGAGCCCTCCTATGGCTCCCATCCCACCCAGAGTATAAGCCAGAGTCCTCCCCAGGGCCCACAACGCCCTGACTCATCTGCTTGCCTCCACCCCAAACTCATGTCCCACTCACCTACCCAACAACACACACACACACACACCCACACACACACACCCACTCCAGTCGCACTGGCCTCCTTGGACTTCCTCGCCCAGGCCAGGCACGACCCTACTTCAGGGCCTTTGCATTGGCTGTTCTCTCTGCTTAGAACACTCTCTCCCCAGGTCCCCACATGACCCTCTCCTTCACTTCTTTCAGGTCTTTGCTCAAATGTCACCTTGTCAATGAGGCCTCCCCTTATCATCTGGTTTAACATACCACCCCTCCCCTCCCCACCCTCCTAGTCCTGCTTTATTCTTCTCCACAGCTCTGATCTCCCTAACTACACAGTTTACTTATGTATCTTGTTTATTGTCTGCCTCCTCCACCAGGGCAGGGATTTTTGTCTGTTCTACCCTCTGCCATATCCCCTAGTGCCTTGAACAGGGCCTGGCACATAGTAGGCACTTGAGAAATCTTTCACAGATTATGAATAGGAGGGTCAGAGATCCAGGGCAGAGAGCCAGCAGTGGGATGGAAAGGAGGGTGGATTTCCTGTGGCTGGGAAGGTGGCTACTTTAACTCAAGTGTTCTTGTACCTTTCTTTCTCACTCTTGTTTCTCTTGTCATCTCTCCTTTTCAGTGTCTCTGTCTCTGCTCTGTACTCCCCTTTGCCAGGAGACCAGCCCTGCAGTCGCTGAGTCCCCAGTATCCCACCTGGCTCCGTAGGTCTCAGCAGCCACAGGGCTGAGGGGCCACGGCCTGGGCACTCCGAGGCTGCCGCAGCTGACGAAGGGAGGCATCACCGTACTGGATGCCAGAGCCCATCCTCTCGGGGTCAAGCTCACCTGGCAGGAGGGGAAAAGTCAGAACTGGTCCCTTGGAGACCTCTGGACCCTGCCTTTCACTCCCACCCTGGTCAGCTGGGGCCTCACCTGAGTCAATCTTGTTCAGAATGGTGCGGGCACACTTCAGGAAAGCCTCCTCCACGTTCTCACCAGTGAGAGCACTAGTTTCCAGGAACATTAGCTCTAGGGGAAGACACTCGGAAGGTCAGGGCCTCAGTCAGTCCCCAGCCTCTACTCCGACTTGGACCTGCTGCGTCTCATTTTGTTCCTTAGATGTTCCACCTAAGTTATTTCACTTAGCATAATACCCTCCAAGTCCATCCATGTTGCTGCAAATGTCAAAATTTCATTCTTTTGGCGGGTAGAAGGTGTAGCTCAGTGGTAGAGTGAATGTTTAGCATGCAAGATGTCCTGGGTTCAATCCCCAATGCCTCTGTTAAGGGTGGGGAGGGATTTAAAAAAAAAGAACTCCGAATTTTTTCATTCTTTTTTATGACTCAGTAGTATTCCAGTGTGTGTGTGTGTGTGTGTGTGTGTGTGCGCGTGCGCGCGCGTGCACATGCGCATTTACCACATCTCCTTTATCCAGTCATCTGTTGATGAACATTTAGGTAGCCTCCATATCTTGGAAATTGTAAATAATGCTGCTATGAACATTGGGGTGCATGTATCTTTCCAATTGGCGTTTTTGTTTATTTCAGAAATATATCCAGGAGTGAAATTGCTGGGTCATGAGGTAGTTCTATTTTTCATTTTTTGAGAGACTGCCATACTGTTTTCCCACAGCAGCTGCACCAGTTTACATTCCCACCAACAGTGTAGGAGGGTTCCCTTTTCTCCACATCCTCACCAATATTTGTTATTTGTGGTCTTTTTGCTCATAGTATACTTGCATACCTTTTGATGTGGCTGTCAGTCCCCTAATTAGTCTACTCCCCTAATGCCAGTGCCTGCTAACCTGGGGTCTACCCTGTCCCATCTCCCTTATTCATGAAATGTGCCTGTCCCCTAGGGCCATCGGAGTTTGCAGTCTCCATCTTATACCAATACCCTGTGCTGTCTCCCCATGATGGTCAAAACCTTCTGAGCAGCCAACATTAATCAAGCGCCCATCCCTCCAGGCAGTGCTGAGGGCTCCCCATGGACCACCTCCCTTAACCATCATGCACTATGTGAGGCAGAAATGCTACAGCCCTGACTTTCCAGATGAGGAAACTGAGGACCAGGCTGGTCACACAGCTCACATATGGCAACACTCAGATCTGAACCCAGACTTCTAAATCCCCACTTTCCCCTGTTGAGCAGAGCCACAGAGAGCCAGGAGGCCCACAGGCCCCCCTGAACTGCCCCCATTCCTGGGAGGATCCCCCTCCCCTGCTGGCCCATTGCATGGCCCTCACCATTCTCCTGGGCAAAGCGGGAGGCCTCCAGGAAGGTAACCTCACGCTCTGGGTCCAGGTCCTTCTTGTTGCCACAGAGAATGACCACGATGTTGGGGCTGGCTAGTGTGCGGGCATCTGTCAGCCAGGCAGCCAGCGAGTTGTAGGTCTCCCGGCTGCGGAGAAGGGAGAGAGAGAGGGGAGGCGGATGTAGGAGAAGGCAGCCCGGGCCCCGCCCCGCCCGCTCCGTGCACCCACCTGGTGATGTCGTACACCAGCAGGGCTCCAGCTGCCCCTCGGTAATAGCTCCGCGTCACCGACCTGTGGGGCCAGGGGGACCCAGTCACCCCCGAGGCTGGGGTCTGCCCCAAGACTGCCCCCCTCTGCGGAAAGAGACTGGTGGTTCGGAGGCCCCCTCTCACCACTGGGCCATCACCCTCAACCTGGCCGTGGTCTGGTCTCACTACAATTTCTCACACTCGTGATCTCTCTGTCTCCCTCAATCTCTCACTTAGCCGCCCACCTCTGTCTCCATCTCTCCCTCTCTCTGAGGCTCTGTGTGTCCCTGTCTTTCTATATGTCTTCACTGGTAGGTGTCTTTCTCCCTCTTTTATGTGTGTGTGTGTGTGTTTAACTGTCCTTTAATCTTTGTCTCTCTTGCTCTGCCTCTCTCATCCTCACCCTTTCCCATTCATCCATTCATTCAGCCGGCATTTTCTGTTCACCCCCTTTGCCTAGTCCTGGCAAAGCACTATGCAACTACATCCCCTTGGCCTTATCCTGCTCTGTCTAGGGGAGGCCCCCTTCCCAGAGTGGCCAACTGTCTGCATCTCCCTGTGTCACCAGGCTGGGTCCCTCCGGAACTCACACAATCACTGCGCAAGCATTTGTTGAGCACTTACTGCAAACCTGGCCTACGTCTCACACCTGTGTCCCCTGCGCTCTCTGTCTCTGGGCTCTAAATACCTTACACAGCGAACTAACACACAGATATTAACTTGGCACCTATGTACTACTGCCCAGGGACCACACGTCCCCATGGCCTGGATTCCCTTGTTTCTCTCTCCCTGCTCCCTATTTCTCAGACTCCAGGTTTCTGGGTGTCTATTACCTTTTCTGCAGACATTTCCTGAAGGCATATGAGCCCCACACATTTCCCTTTCCTCCCAAAACATCCATTTCTCCATCTCTCTCGCCACACCTGTCCCACTTTCCCTGTCTCTGTCTCTCGCCTCTGTTTCTCTGAGTCCCCTTATCTCCCGATCCCTCCTTCTCCCTTTCTGAGTGTTTGTATCTCTCTTTCAAGTTTCCCTTTCTGTATCACTCATTCTCTGCCAATCTCTACCCCTTGCCCCACCCCAAGCATCTTCAGGCCTCGTTTCTCCCTGGGGACAAGACTCCATCTCTCCAGCCCATGAGTCTCTCCCACATAGTCTGTCGGTCCCTCCCTGGCTCTCTCACTGTTTTTTTTTTTTTTTTTCTTTAAATTTTTCTTTTTAATGGAGGTACTGGGGATTGAACCCAGGACCTCAGGCATGCTAAGCAGGCACTCTACCACTGAGCTATACCCCTGCCTCACTTTTCATTAGGCTCCTTTTTCAATCTTTTTCTCATTGTCCTTGTCATCCTGTCTCTAACATGCCTTCTTTCTTTGACTCTATCTACCTGCTTATCACAATCTCTTATCCCTCTCCCTCTGTCTTGCCTGCCCTCTCAGTGTCTCCTTGCTTGTATCATTATGTTTCCAGGTAACTCTGTACACTCCTCCCCTGTCCCCAACTCTCTCTCCTTGGGAGCCCAGCCCACCTACCGAAACCGCTCCTGGCCAGCTGTGTCCCAAATCTGTAGCTTCACGGTCTTCCCACCCACGTTGACCACCCGAGATCCAAACTCCACGCCGATTGTGTGGTTGGAGTCCTGTTTGACTGGGGAGTGGGAGGGAGAGAAGAGGCAGTGCAGGGACTCAGAGGATTCCCTGTCCCCCAAGGCCTCCTCAGCCTGTACAAACCCATTGTCATTGCTGGGATGACTGAGGCTCAAGGAGGACCTAGCAAAGAGCACATACCAAGGTAAGGACCAGGCAGCCAGCACTGGAGTTGTACCTATGGCCAGCCCTGCCCCTGCCCACCCCAACAGCTGCCTATTGCCCACACCACGCCCATGCCCACAGTTTAGTTCCCAGGACCACTCCCAGAAACTCACACTTATTCTCAATGAATTGATGAAGGAGACATGATTTGCCAGTTCCTGCACTGCCAATCACCAGGAATTTGAAGAGGAAGTCTGAGGGCAGATGGAGCCAAAATCAAGGAAACCCATGTGGAGAGAAAGATACACAGGAGAAGAGGGACACGGAGAGAACATCACAATGACGGGGAGAGAAACAGACACAGGCAGACACAGGACAATGGGTAACAAAATTAACATAATTCTTATATAGTGCTTACCACATACCAGGCAGTTCTAAATATCTTTACTTACATCAACAACTCACTTAATCCTCAGGAAAACTCTGTGAGGGAGGTATACTAATAATTATCCCCATTTTCCAGATGAGGAAACTGAGGCTGGAAAGGTTAACTGACTTTCCCAAGTTCCTGCAGCTAGGCAAAGCTGGGATTCCAACGCAGACCAGCTGGCTCCAGAGTCCAAGATATCAGCTATTACACTGCTAAAGCCTTCTGAAAACCGTTTTATCAAGAACTACAGTCTTGTCCTTGCCCCCTACGACTTCACCTCCTACCACTTTCCGATTCATTCATTCCACTTTAGCCTCCAGCTTTCAGTCTACTCCCTGAAGATGACAATCTGGTTCCTGCCTCAGGGTCTCTGCACTTGTTCCCTCTGCTTTTCTCTATTTGCTGAATGAATGTAGCTCCCTGTGACTCCCAAACCAGTGCTCTTTCTTCCACATCCTGTTCTCCCACCTCCTATCCATCTATCTGGATTTCCCAATTCTCATTCCCTCTTTCCCTCCCTCTCCCCAAGACCCTACCCCTATTCTCAAGCTTAAGCCCCACCCCTTGCCACTAGCCCAACCCCCTGATTCAAGGACAACTCACCCCCAACCGCATTTCAGACCTCTCCAGAGTAGTCCCAGGGTACAGAGCATCCCTTCAGGGTTCCCCCAGCCCTTCCAGTTTGACCCCTGCCATTCACACAGTCAGCCCCGCCCCATCCATTCAGGCTCCGCCCAGACATATTAAGCCCACCCCTTCCCTCAAGGCCCACCATGATCCAACAAGACTGGTTTCCTCAAATCCCGCCCCAGATCTATTTCGCCCACACACCAGTCCCTCAGGCTCCGCCCAAATCGATTAAGCTCAGCCTCAGACTCACTAAGCCCCTCCCAGCATCCACTAGGCCCTGCCCCATAATACCAGACCCCGCCCCCTGAGATATAAAGCCCCGCCCCATACCCACAGGCCGCATCCTCCCTGGGCCCAGACCCCAGACCCCAACTTCAGCCCACCACCCTCACCGTAGGTCTCAGCCATGACTCGGTCACGGCCACTTAGGGCCGCAATATGGCGACGCGGCCGCGCCTGCTCCTCGGCTGGCAGCCGCTCCACTCGGGTTGCAGCCCCGGCTCCTTCCTATTCCCGGGGCCGGCGCCGCCACTTCCGCCTCCACCCCCCTCCGGCGCGACCCGCTAGGGCTGCGGGATACCAGGCCACGCTTCCCGAAGGCAGGGATTGGTGGACTCAGTGGACACGGGGCGGGGGAAGTAGAGCCCATTGGCGGTGAAAGAGGGGCGGGACAAAGACGAATGATTGGCGGAGCCAGTGGGAAGGGGCGGCACAGAGTTGCTTCGCGGAGCAGAGAAACGGATTTGGTCAGAAGTCCGGGGGGCAGGGTCGAGGTTCCAGATTGGGTAGGAGCTAACTTGGGGGCGGGCATACGGATGCAGAGAAGAGGGTAGGATTGACAGAAAGAGCCTCGAAGAGGAGTGATCTTGGGCTGGAGAGTACAGCTCTCAAAGGCAGGAAGGATGAAATTGGGATGATACCCAAGTTAACCTCCCACCTCCCTTTGCAGATAATCTAAGAAAACCTAGAAAACCTCTCCTCTGCATTTTCTGTCTTCCTCATGATCCGACTGACTCATTGCCAGTAGTTCAATAGTTCTCTTATTGGTCTAAAGAGGACACTACAATCCCCCAATTTGGCTGTTTAGGTTATGCCGCCTTCTCATTTGCTTGTGATATCTAAGCCTAGGTGCCCACCTATGTATGGTACCCAGCTTGGAGCAAAGAGCTTTTAGTACGTGAAACTGCTTAGCAACCATTGACGTTACTACAGTCAGTGGGGTGATTGGCTAGATTCAGATACCTGGGGAAACATTTCCTTTCTAGATCCCCACCACAAAGACCACAGAGACCCACAGTTTGCACTTGACTGGTGTATTTGCATAAAGCCGGCGAGGGGGAAAAAAAAACACACAGCAGGGACAGCGGTAGGCTCTCACTGGCAGTAGAAATCCCATTTCTGAAAAAGAAAGGGGAAACAGTGGGAAGAAAACCAGCGGTCACACCACAATGGATCTAGTGGTTTTAGCAAATGCTGCAGCCGCAGGCGCCAGGTTTGGCCACACAAGTGCTATGCAAATTAGCCTAGAGCCCTCTAATCTTTTCACCTGTCAATTGGACTAGGACTTAGAAATCATTCCCCATTTTACAGGTAAGAAAAGGCAGGAAATTTGTCCCCGAGCACACAGCTAGTATGCCGGGGAGCCAAGGGTAGGAGCATCTTTGCCCATCACCACAATTCAAGGGTCCTCCCCCCACATCCGTGCCAGCCCCTAAGACACTCACATCCGTCTTCACATCGATTTTGCCACGTTTCAGGGTCTGGTCTTCGCGTACAATGCTACTGGGGAAATAGCCCAGGCGAGCAGCTAGGTCTCCATAGTAATCTCCCTGAACCTGGGGAAGAGGAGTTAAAAGCCAGGGTCTGGGAAAATGCCAAGCTCACTCCTGCTACAAACCTCTGCACTCTTTTCTCCCTGATCTACACTAGCTGGCTCCATCTTTGTCATTCAAATCTCAGCTTCAAGTCACCTGCTAGAAGGTCCTCCTTGACAACCCCTTGCTAATTAGTCACCCAGTCACTTTATATTAATTCTCCAAGCAGCACATACTTGATTTTTTTTTTGATGGCTTGTCTCCTTCCATTAGAGTAAAAGGGGTAATTTTTGTTTTACCTTCAGTGTCTAGAACAGTTTGGCACTATAGTAGATGCCGTAATAATTGCTCAGCAAAGTAAAAAGTAGATAACAAAATCTCCCCCCAACCCTGCAAACTCTATTTCAGTTCACCCCCCTCACATTTTCCCTTTAGGTGAAAATTAGGGTGTACCCACCCCAGCCCCACACCCTTTCCTCTTCTGTTCTCCCAAGACTCACGCTGCCTCCCCAGAAGAGCCGCCCTCGGCCCTTCAGCTTGGAGAAGACATACACGACTTGGCCCCTGTGTATGGTCAGGAAACGGCAGTCGGGGGCCACGTAGTCCTGAAGGGCCACAGCCATGGAGATGGGGTCTGGGGAAGGAATAAAGGGGAATGACAGCCCCATCCGCACAGACTGGCAACCCAAGCCCCAAGCCCTCCAACCCCCAGCTCTTACGGCTGCATTCCTCATCAGCACACAGCTTCCTGTCAGCCAGCTTGGGCATGAGGTGGCCGCCGACACTAGGCCCTGGGAAGGCAGACAGCAAAATGATACCAAGAAACACCAGGGGCCAAGCCATCATGGACTCTGAGCAAGAGAGTGACCAAGAGAGGAATGGGGTCTCCAGTTTCCTCCTGCCCTCCCTCTCCAACAACACAAGGAAACCTGTGTTCTTGTCCCCGCCTTAAACCAGTCCCAAATTTTACCCACACCACCTAGAGGCTGCTACACAGCCAGAACCATTTTAAGGACAGGGTGAGGATAGCCAACACTAGGAAATGCTCAGATAGGCCCAAGGTAGCCCAGGCCACTCCAAGTGACAGCCACCCCCTCAGCAATCAGAGAGGCCCAGTCGGGCAAGTTAAGATATTCAATTCCATCTTTCTTGAGTCAGCTTGGGGACCTGAGCCCCTTTGCTGTCCCCCTAGACAGAACGAAAGAAGCCAGTATGGAAAACCACCTTGGAATTTCCTGTGCTGAGGGGCAGGAGAACAAGGCAGCCCTTTGATTGCCAGGAATAACCCCAGTTCCCAAGCAGAGTATTGTATGTTGGGCCTTAAGCTAGGCAATGTCCTGCCACAATTGCTACTTATCCTCATAAGCCACTTTCTGATTGGGTGACCCAAGCCAAGTTATGTCTCCTCTCAGAGCCTCACCTTTCTCCTCTTTAAAATAGGAAAAATAAAACTCTATTGTTTACTATCCTAGTGGTTATTTATAGAGCATTCACCACACGTATCTTTATTTTATTAGCTCAAATGTATAGTCTACCTCCCCTTCAAAGGGGGCTATCAAAACACGGTTTTACGTGGAAATGGAAGTGTAGAGCCTTAAGGAATGTGTCCAAGGTGGGAAGCGGTGGGGCCAAGTTTGGTTCCAGGTCCACACCCAGCACTACTGAGCTTAGAGCTCAGTCAGGTGCCCAAGGTCAGAGTGGCAGGATCTGAACTCAAGTCTCATCTCTAAAACTGTGTTTCAAAGAGATCCACACGCCTCAACAGCCACCTCTTCCCTCAGAAGTATTCTCACGCTGGCTCCAAGTCCAAACTTTTTTTAGTTCAGGGGGAAGTGGAGGAACACACACAGGCTTGGGATGGGGAAGAAATCATCTCTAGCAAAGATGGGGCCTAAGTCACCTCTACATGCTCAACACCCAGCACCAAGTACAAGAGTATTAACAGCTCTCCTCAAATGTCACCTCCTCAGAGGGGCTTCCCGTGACCACCCCGGTTACTGGTCCCCAGCTCGACCACCCCATCGTCAGTTGTTTGTATCAGAACACAGCAGTTGAAAACAGCTTGTCTATTTCATTCACCACTGCATATCCTATGCCAAGGACAGTATTTAGCACATAGTAGGGGCTTGGCAAGTTATTTGCTGAACTTATTAAGTGCTTGCTAAATGCCTGGCACAGGGGTTGGGGGAGGGTAAGGGGGTGGCGGGGGAAGGCTTGTAGGCTGGAGTAGCGAGTACAAAAACACCACAGTATTAATAAAGATTCTTCTTTACGCAGGAAGAAAATGAAGCTCAGAGTGCGGACATCAATCGCCTGTGAGGGCAGCAGCCGGGGAGCACCCCCAAGCAGACAGTAGAAACTAGGTGCGACACATAAACCCGTGGCTGCTAGTGTTCCCTCGCGCCGTCTGCAAGAACACTGCCTTTTAGGGAAGGCGGCGATCGCCCTCTTCCCCTTTCAGTCTTTCAGATCCTACAAGAGTGTGAGTTTGGTGCCACAAGTCTTCAGTGTGTCAAACACTGATGTTCGCTTTTAACGGAGAGAGCAGAGCTGGGGCTTGAGTCTTGGCACACTCAAAAAAATATCCAGAGAATTTAACAGTCTCTCTGTATTTATTTTTGTGGTTAATTTTCTACTTCTGGCAAGTGATCTCATTTTCCCATCTATATGGTATGACAATGGGTTTTAAGCTATATATATATATATTTTTTTTTGAGTCAATTTAAAACTTTCCAGGTCAGGTGTGTGACAGACTGCTAAGGTCCCCCTGTTCAACCTCCCCTTCTTATCCACAGCTTCAGCTGGGACATGACTGTCCAGCCAGAAACCACACTTCCTAGAACCCCCCACAGCTAGGACACCAGAGAACTGGGTTCACCCGCCTGCCCGAAGCTCCTGGTTGGAGGTTGGCCAGCAAGGGAGAGCAGCCGTGTGTGAGGCGGCTACCTTTCTGGCACCAGCACCTGGTCAAGGGCCCTTCCCCTGTGTGATCACGTCAGTTGGGGCACTCCTAGTAGCAGCAGTGACATCGTGCTGAACTCTACAGACTGCAGCTCTAGGCTGCAAACTTGGACAGTACAAACGATCTGTGGACCAAGTGTCTCCAACCCAAGCTGCCACTCCTACTACCCTTCCCGTGACTTCATGCACACCCATTTCCCTTCTCTTTCTTCCTGAAGTACTGAGAGTGGTTTCTGTGGGACCCTTCGTAGGACAGAAGGCATTTTTATGTAGAAAACACTGAAGAAAAACCTCTTTCTTAACACTCTATCATGTTAGAAAATGATTGGAGTAAACATACAAATCTACAGAGTGAACGGTGAGCCATGAAAGGTGGCATCCTTGTGCAGTACAGAACCTGCCCAACAGTACCTGGCAGCCTGGGTTTCAATTTCCTGCCCTGAATGTTGATTGAGGTGAAATAGAAATCTGCCAAAGTAGTAAGTGAATTTCAGTTTTGACAATGTTGTTACACTATTCTGTGTATTTTCCCAAGGTTGCAATCCCCAAACACCCAGAATATTCTCATGTGCAGAGAAGGGAAACACAGAGGACAAGAAAATCAAAACAACAAATGTTTGTGAAAAAACAAACCTCAAAAAAACACTTTAATTCCAGCCTAACAGCGCCAGGTGCAATGTCTGGGGACAGACTCTGGGTACAATGCTGTGTGGCGACCATTCACTCACACACGGCTCCAAAGCCCCCGAGGGGGACTTACCTTCAGGGGACTGAGCCGAGGGAGGGAGGGGTGGCCCCAGGACAGGGGGCAGGGGCAGGCATGGGAACAGGGTGCTACTTCTTGGCAAAGGAGATCTTCATGGCATTGTTCTGGGTGATCTTGAAGCCCTGCAGGGCGTCACGAGCGGCCCCTGCCTGCACCTCATTGTCAAACTCCACGAAGGCAATGTCGTGCCGCCCGGGGACCAGCCGGACCTCCTTGAAGCCAGGGAACCTGAGGGAAAGGCAGAGACCTCAGGGATCCAGACTGGGCACTTCCCTCTAACATTTTAGCCTAACATTTGATGGGTAGGGGCCAGGAACGTTGCTAAACACCCTATGAAGCAGAGGACAGCCCCAATAACAAAGAATTATCCAACCCAAAATGTATGACACTAAGTTGATAAATTCTAACATAAACAAGTGTGCACAATGTAAACGTATCATATAATGACAAATTTTAACATGAACACACCTGCAGCCATAACTAAGGTCAAGAGACAGAACACTGCCCCTCCCCCCACATCCTTCCCCAGTCACAACCTACCCACTTCGGCTCCAGAAATAACCATTACCCTGACTTGTATGATCTGCTGTTTCTTTCGTTTCCCTCTTCTCAATCCCTACTTCCTTCCCCATTAGGCAACCATCCCCATGTTTCCTGGCTATCATTTTTTTCCATCAGTATTCTTAAAAAATACACATTGTTCTGTGGATGTGGTACATTATGTGGTAATATTTTTCTCTTTTACTCAGTTTTTCAAAATTTCTTCTCGGTAGGAGCATCAAGAACCATCATGCCACTCTTCCCGTTCCCTCTAACTGCTGAGCAGCATGTCTTTTTGAGCGTCTGCATTTTTTTTTAAATGGAGGTACTGGGGATTGAACCCAGGACCTCATGCATGCCAAGCATGCACTCTACCACTCAGCTATTTCCCTCCCCCAACAGCATCTGCATCTGACCCCTCCCTTCCCCCAGGCTGCCTCCAACTCCCCACATACTGTGAGGAACACCCCAGCTACAGCCCCTTGGGACTCTTGTTAAGAATTTCTGTAGGATATCCAGTCAGAGCAGAGCCACCAGGTGAGTACATCACTAAACAGAGGACAGTTGCCCTACCCCATGGCCCAGGGCTCTGCATCCCATCCGCAGGGCACGAGGGGTCAAGCATCCCCACCGCCCACACTTGTAACAAACGGGCTGACTTCTGCCAGCCTAGCCAGCGCTCGGTGACATCTCACTGCTGTTTTACTCACACCTTGCCTTTGTCTAATCCAGAGACTGGAAAGATGAGGCCCAGAGCCTGGCCCCCCGCCCCACCCTCACGAAGGTGGAGGACGGCTCGCACGCCCTGGCTACTGCTGACCTCCAGCCTCATCACCACCCTTCCCTGTTGCTGTGGGCCCGGCCTCTTCTCCTTTTTACACCTGTAGCTGCTGTCTCGCCTGCAAAGCCTAAGCAGGCTCAGGGCTCCGCCAGCAAAATTCTGTGCCCGTCTCCACGGTGCCACCTCCTGGCCATCACCCACCCACAGCTCCTGCCCAGCCACAGGCCATACTTACTGGTTGAAAAGCATGGAAAGCATGAGTTCGTTGGTCTCTTCCGGCAGATTGGTGAGGAACAAGATGTGATTTGGTGGATTTTCTGAAAGCTGTGCGGGAGACAAGAGCCCATGAGTCTGGTGCGGCCCTCCTGCTCTCCAGCCCCAACCCTGCTTGAATCCTAGCCCGTCACCTGACATACCCTATGCTGTTGCCTGTCTACCCCGCCTCACCCTCCACTAGACCATAAGCCACAGAGAGCACTGCTGTGCCCATAAACGGGTGCTCAGGAGGTCACTGAATGAACCCAGGTGCAGCCCATCCCTGCTCCAGCCTCCCCTTGACCTTCCAAAGCTGCTCCAGCAAACACACTAATTCCTCTGTCCCGGTGCCTGACCCCACTGCTACATCCTCATTCTCCGAGAGCACCCCCTCAGGGAGGCCTGCCCGGCACACACAACCTAAAACAGTGCCCCCACCAGCCCCTTTCCATTCCTGTATTCTGACTGCATGAGACCCCAGGAGGACCAGACACTTACAGGCTGGGCAGGTGGCATCTGCCCGGGCATGAGCTGCTGTGGAGGCATGGCCCCCGGTGGGATCTGGCCAGGTGCGAGGCCGGGAGGCGGTATCATGCCAGGGGGCGGCATGTAGGGAGGCTGGCCTGGCATGTGGTGCATGATGCGTGGTGCCTGGGTCATTGGCGGCATGCCCTGTGGGACAGGGAGAGCAGGACTGAGATGGGCGCAGGCAGGTGGGACGGGGTGTGCTTTCACTGTCAGTAGGAAGCAGAGAGGAGAAAAGGCTGTTCCAGGAAACTCAGGGTGTGAGAGACACAGGGAGAAAGATCCAGACTTGCAAAAGGCAAAAAAGGCACCCAAAGAGAGGTGGATGGAACAAAACAGACCTAAGTTCACAGGGGACATTCAATCAGAAAGAGTTAAAAAAATTTTTTTTATATATATAAAAGTTGGTCAGAATGGCCTAACGGTGTTCACAGACATATACATAGGTAAAAAGTCTAGGAAAAAAATAAGAACACTGTCAACAGAAAGTGGTAGAGATAAACACCATAATAAGCATGCTGTACTCCTGATTCTAAAAATAAACTTTACGGAAGAAGAGACAGATCCAGAGAACAGACAGTGGAAGGCAGAGATGGACAGGGACGGTGGGTGTGGGCAAGTGCAGAAAGGAGCTGACCCGATGGCACAGAGCACGTGCACCCAGGGGAGACGGGGGCTGCCAGAGCTGGAATCACACCTAGAGTCAAAGGTGGACAGAAAGGTGGGCAAAGAAGAGAGGAGAGGAGAAGAGTGGGGAAGCTCAAAGGTAACCCAGACACTATCGCTGATGCCAAAATGTGAGGTCACACAGAGCACCACCCATCAGAAGGCCCACAAGGAGGTTTGGAGACCTAAAGCGTGGGTCCAATTCATCCAGCTTTAGTACTTCGTGTTTCTGTATCCGGTTTAGAAAACAGGATGTTTCCACTCTTCATGCCCCACCAAGGTCATGAAGACATTTTCCTGTTTTCTAGAAACTATTTCTGTAGCTGTCACATTAAGGTCCATGATTCATCTCAAATTAACTTACATATAGTAAAGGTAGTGTTAACTTTTTGTCTTACATATATCCAATTGTTTCAGTATCATTTACTAGGGGAAAAAGTCCTTTCACCGCTGGACTGCAGTATCTTGATTATACATGGAGTGATCACATACACATGTGGACATTTCTGGACTATTCTGCCCCACTGGTCCATCTTCCCAGCCTTATGCCAACACCGCACCATCTTGATTACTATATAGCAGGCCCCCGCTTTGCTCTCGTCTGCCTTCTTTTGCCTTTCCAGACATTTACTGACAGCCTGTCAGTGTCCTCATAAACTCCTGTTTGGATTTTGATTGGAATTGTGTTGGATTTTAAACCAATTTGGAAAGAACCAACATCTTAGCAATGAGTCTTCCCATCCATTTGCTAGGAACATCTCCAATTTCTCCCAGCAACGTTCTAGAGCTCCAGTGGGTGGTCTTACACACCTCTTGTTGAATTTACTCCTTGGAGCTACTTTTCAATTTGAAGACTGATTGTTTGTTGCTAATGTTAGAAATAAAACTTAATTTTTCCATGTTGATTTTATATCTGGCAACCTTGCTAAATTAAATTCACTTTTTAATCCTAACAGTCGATTGGTAGCTTCGTCTGGATTTTCTACATAGACATTGACCTAAAAGACAAGGACAGCAAAGTCAAAGTCAAGGAGAGAAAGAAAAGAGAGACTGAGACACAGAGAAAGAAGATCCTGAGAAATACGCAGGCACGGAGAGACATTTCCCAGTGGAGATACCATCATCCAGGTGCTCAACCCCCCAGACAGGCACATAATTGTCATAAGAAAATGGAAGGGGTTGAGGTGGAGGAGTCCTCTGAATCCCCAAGGGGAGACCCCTCCTCACCCTGCCCCCAAGCCAGGCCATGTCGTTGAGGAAGGCCTGATGGTGAGGGGGCCACATCTCTGGGCCCTGGCTTACCGGGACAGGCCCCTGGACAGCACCTACTACGGGGGCAGCCGCCCCGCCCTGCACGGCCTTCTTGGCAGCTGGGGTCTCCTGACTTTTGGGCTTCCTCTTCTCCCTCTTGCGGTCCCGCTCCACGAATGTGCCCTTCATCTTGGCGATGATATCTGAGTCAGTTTTGGCATACTGGATGCGCTGCCAAGCAGAGAGCAGAAGGGTTGAGGTGAGTGAGCTTCAGAGCCAAACAACCTGGATGCAAAATCAGACCTTGATGGGCTTGGTGAGCAACGTCACAGAAATTACTTGGTTTCAGTGCCTTCATCTGTAAAACGGGGATTGAGATATTTCCCACTTCAATGGATGATTGCGAGGACTAAATGAGTTAAGTCTCCAGAGAGTGTCTGGCATGTAGCAAGTGCTCAGTAAGTGGTTGCTGGGACTCTGAAGGGAAGATCGGACAGCCCTGAGAATCAGGCCCAAGGCAGAAGCAAGAAAACAAGGCCAGGACACTAACTCTATGCAGGGGGCCTTTCAAACACACAAGAGAACTGAATCTTCAGGCGAAATCTCATCCATTTAGCAGTTTACCTAGCACCTATCTGTGCCTTGGGCGTCCAGCAAGGAGTAAATCAAACAGAAGACCCCACCCTCCCAGAGCTTGTTCACTGG